ATGTACAGTACTGTACAGGTATCCCTTGTTTAGTGTTAAATGACTTGGCGTTAATTCGGTTTAGCAATAAAAAAAATGTACACCCTTTCTTACTTAGTCAAAATTTGGTTTAGTGATAGCTTGATTTGCTGGGAGGGGGAAAAACTGGGGATGAGGTGGCCTGTGAGATGGCATGTTGTCATTGTTGCATGTAATGAAACTAAAAAAGTTATGGAAAAATCATTACAATACTCTAATGTGGCTTAGAAATAAAGAAAATGTAATAAAAAACCATAAAATAATAAGAATGAAGAGCAAGGGTGTGTATGTGTGCAAACGTATTTGTTCCCTGACTCCTTTCCCCAATGTGATGTCATGACATACACACAGTGCAGCAGCAACCATGTCTCCGAGTCTGAATTGTGTTGTCTCCCAGAGGATGGTTTGAGTTTGGAAGGAGTTATTTTTGTACATCAAATATGTGCTATTGTATTTTATATGCTATATAACAATTCTATTGTTTATCATAGCAATTATAAATTTGTTTGAATTAGGCTCGCCTTTTGCTCACCAAATTGTTCAAACTCTGAACTACATCGTTTATGTAATAGTTTCATGTTAATAAATCGATCTTTTAACTTCAAAACCATTCATAACAAACTCACAGTACAGTGGACCCTCGAAGATCCGGACTAAAGAGGGGGGACCACCTGTCTGAAAAAGCTGATTGTCTGAATCTTCCAATGAATGTACTAAATGTATGGAAATGATAAATAATGACATAAAAAACAAAAAATACAGTGCATAATATCTTGACCACTGGGGGTTAATTATACAGACTTTCCTGTGAAAATGAACATATTACTGTACTCGCTTTGTACTCAAAAGTCCCATGCTAAAAGACTAAAAATTTTATCTCTTGTGCAAACTATGTAATGTTTATATTCAAATTAATTGCCATCTTGCAAGAATACCAGCAATGCAAGTTATATTCTGCCGAGTCAAGTCTGACATTTTAGAAGAAAAAAACGTTAAACCTAACACTACCTTCACCCTCTAAATCAGTCAAATAGAAAGAGTAAGTTTTTTGCTTATAAATTGTCATGGACTTAGCAGAATATAACTTACGTTGTTGGAATTCTTGCAATATAGCGATTAATTTTAGTATAAACCTCCCATAGTTTGCAATGGAGATAAAATTTTTAGTACAGTGAGTTCTGCTATAACGCGTGTTTTGATAACGCGAATTTGCTCTTACGCGATTTATGAATTCGGAACAATATTTGTATAACGCGAACGCCTGTTTGCTATAACGCGATTTTTGCTTACTATTTCTCCAATTTTGTGGTATTAACTGTGATTATGGTAAAGAAGAATATCTCCAAAAAGGGTTCTGATGATAGAATTCCCGGTGATTATCGTAAAAGAAAGGATATAACACTTGAAGAGAAGCTCGATGTTATCAACCTCAAAATCACCCTTCTCCCCCATCAAGTTACATTCATATTTTTTCAAGGTAAAGTGTTACATTTACTGTATGATTTCATTATTAGATATGAATGTAACATTTATTTAGACTGTGCTATCCTTTGTGTTAGGCTAACTACTAAATTTTTTCGATTTCGAGTAATCTGCACCTAACCCTATTTTCTCCATAAGCCCTGTTATTTCTATTACGCGATTTTCTATAGCACGATATTTTACAAGAACACAATTATCGCGTTATAGCAGAACTACCTGTAATATATATATATATATATATATATATATATATATATATATATATATATATATATATATATATATATATAT